GGGGGGGGAATTTTGCAACAAAAGTAAAAAAAATAAAATAAAATATTGAAATTGATGGCGATAATTTCCTCATAAGAGGAAGAGGAGACAAATAGCGCCGCCATGAACATTAAAACCAGTAGAATGCTGGAGATAGTTTGATATATTTTTTTGGATATAGACTGACTGGCCACAGCATTTGGTACACCTTCACTACCTAATGAGGGGGGGAAAGAAAATCACATTTGAATGTTGAAGAATGTAACAGTATGTAGAGTTGAAGTGCAAGTTATCATAACTACTCAGAGATGTTGCTCATATTTTGGCTACTTATTTGGTGACATGAGAACATTTTTATAATTTTCCCCAATTGATTTATTTATTATTTATTTATTTTTTCCCCACAAACAAATCACTGTGTTGTATGAAAACAAACTATTTTTACAAAATTGTAATGATTTATGATGTATTTGTGTATGGAATACGTGCCTTTAAGGGGTGTGGCCTTGTGATATGCGGGAGTTGGAGTCACTCCTCACGAGTGCTGTCATGTTGTAGTTGTGCGGGTCGACTCTTGGTCCCATTCGCTAAACAGTTAAGCCCATTGGCAAATGTGGCTCTCCTTGCCTACATGCAAGGGCATTACCTTTATTTCACCATTTTTTTTTTCCGCTTCATTTGAATGGCGGCTTATTGAAGTTCCTATTCTGGGCTATCCTAGGCTACAGTTCGCCGAATACAGATATGCGTGAAAGAAAATGGATGGACTTAAAATTGGTGGCAATGGTAAAGGGCTCCCAGGAAATTTCAGCCACGATAATATCCAACTTGTTAAACGAAGACGATTTTGCCTCCCACATCTCATTCGATTGTGTCGATGTAGTTTAACAATCATTTTCTTACCGTGACTGCATGCAGTCGAAAATGTTGTCACGTGCAACTAAAAGTTCATGAAGATGACTCTGCGATATTGTATTCTCATGCTGGGCGCATGGCACATTGAGTTTGTATTTGTGTGCATATTAAACTCGAACAATACTTGAATGCACAGGAAGAGAAAAGAAATCTTCATTGATCAAGCAGCGAGATTATCTCGGCGCGGCATTACTTTTTCATTATAACTGCTATCACAGTCATTTGTTATCAAAAATTCATGCGGCGAGGCAGAGCGGGAGAAATATAGGGTGGTCTTCTGACGCCGTTCAAATGCGCGGACTGATTACGCAACGTCACATTTCAACTCGCGCTGTCTTTGTGCGCCAAACACTCTACGTGTTGAAAATGGGCTTTCAATAATTAGCAATCATGAGTGAATCACTGAAGATCAAGAGCACAGCACATTCATTATGAAGGTTCTTAACACGGCATTGAATTTGATGAATGGCAAATCATTGTTTTAAAAGTTGGTCCTGTTTTTAACTGTCGAAATACCGAATCCTGAAGCCATACGTTGAAACTAAAAGGGACCTGCATATGTAGATAGAAGCACTTTGCCTTCCAGTCTAATCCACCTGAGTAGCTTTTAGCTTGAAAGTAGCACACATTGTCAACACCCACGCACACACATTCATCTTTGCTTTTTAGGCATTTGCGCCCATTACATGCACACAATCTCTTTAAGTTAACCATGCTTGTCTGTTTGCTGTCTTCTTCCGCACATTAACGGCATATTTAACTGAGAGTATGGTTTCGTCTAAACTAACCTCTTACTCTTAAAATGTATGGAAAACATGAATGTAGGCGCAAAAAATAGGATTCTTGTAATATTGAGTGTGTTTAGCCAAACAGCAACTCTTAAAAAAAAATCCACACAGTTCCATCAATAATACAGATCAAGATTATTAAAAAAAATACACTGTACTTATATGGAGGTATAATAAGGGGTATAAGAACAATTATTTTCCATAGTAATCTATTTAATTTTGCTGATTACATCAAGGAGCACATTAAAAGGGTGAGGTGAGGCAAATAGCACTCTGCCTCACTGAAGTGGGCATCCATTTTTCTTTGATGCAGATAGATGTCACTAAGTAAAATACACTTGGCTGAGTTAGAGCAAACTTACGATCTACATGATGCTGCGAATATTTTACTGTTACTACGTTTTACTGCTAACTTCTTTCAGCACTTGCCTGACATATGATAATGGTACGAATAGACAGAAAGCCCTAAAAGAGTGTCAGGACGAAACACTTGACGTCTTATATTTACTATGATGAAAAATTCTCAATCCTGTAAACAAGTGTGTGGCTCATTCCACCTGGTCATATTCATCAGTTCCCCATTAATTTGTCTTTAAGTGAACACATATAAATAATGGGAGGTCATTATTTGGCAGACAACACTTTTCACCGAAAGTAATCACTACAGCCATTCATTAGACTTTAAGATGTGCATGAAGATGAGAGGCAAAGTGATAATGATGGATTGCACGGAGGTACGCGTCCCCTTCCATGGGAACAATAGAATGAGAAGCAATTCAATTATGTCCATTTGCAAAGTACAATTACTTCGGCGAGATAAGGGGACATGCTTCGGAATCAAAACGATTTTAATTAGTTCATCATTCAAATAAACGGAGGTTTAATTAAACCTGCCATGATATGCACTCTGCATTTCGATGCAAGGCCAGCAGATTGTTTGCAAAAAAGAAAATCACTGACAGCGCGAGGATTCTCCAAGCACAACTCGATATCATTTGTACTTATTTTTGTGTGTGCTCAAGGCCTTAAATAAAAGGTTGGAAGCTAGCGAAGTGAAAGAAGTGAAAAGTGAAAGAAACACACATTGTCTCTTACCCCCCCTAACTCCCCTGCCATTTCAAACATATTTGTAGTTCAGATTCATATTCGTAACTCACACACACACACACACACACACACACACACACACACACACACACACACACACACACACACACACACACACACACACACACACACACCGAACACTGCGCAACATGTGTGTGCATGAAAGTGTATCATTTCTCATTCCTGACCACGGCGCAGTGCTTCTATAAATACATGCCAGCTCCCACGTGAGACGGGCCCACTGTACTTCATAAGCCTCGCCGTGCGGTCGCCATGGTAACACTTACAGTAGGGGAAACTTGTGTGTGCGCGCGCGCGTGTCCCTCTAAACTTTGAAGCGCTTCATTTGGTTTTGGTCGTCACACAAAGGGCAGGACGTTTGGCTTTTGTTTCCAAAAGTGGCTTAAATAAGGACTTGGGAAAAGGTTACAGGCCGCCACGATGATGGGAGGAAAGTTGTCACGTGGTATTTGAGTGCGTTGGAACAAGGGAGTACAGGGCGTGCGTGGCCTATTTGCGGGTCCGCTGACTGACTCGCCGCAATAACGTGAGCGACCGCTTAACTTGGAAAAACTTTTTTTTTCCACCCCATCATTGTTTTGACCCTCAATAAAAAGTGTTTCTTCAAATTTGTTTCTCCATCCTTAGTGCTCGCATCGCCTCTACATCACGAGAAATGGCAGCGGCAGTTGCCATGGAGACAGAACCATATCATAGCAAGATAAAGTAAATGTTGAATTCCTGTTGGGGTGGTGTGTGTGTCTGCGTGTGCGTGTGTGTGTGTGTGTGTGTGTGTGTGTGTGTGTGTGTGTGTGTGTGTGTGTGTGTGTGTGTGAGATATTTCGGTAGACCCTGTGTTTATCGAAAAAGGATGTGGATCCCAATGAAATGGACTGGGCTGGATTGTTTACAATTCCAACACAGTGGTTGGCCTCGTGGTAAGCACGTCTGCCTCGCAGTCAAGAGGTTCCTGTTTCGAATCTCAGCTCTGGCCTTTTGTGGGGTTTGCATGTTATCCCCGCGCTTGTGTGGGCATTCACTTCGGCCCACATTCTCAAAATATCTTAAAAGACAAAATTCTCCTCGGGTGTGAAAGGGGGCGGGGGGGGTTGTCTACATTGTGTCATGTGGTTGGCTGGTGGACTTGTCAGGGTCCCTCTTCCCGCCCAAGACTAAGGAGATGGAGAAAGTAGATGGATAGAATTTCGGCACCAATGATGTTTTAAAATGGTGGTGTATCATCTTGTCATTGGTCAATTTTTGTGATTTTACACTTGTCAAATGAGTTATTTTCATGAAAAAAGTGTTTTATAGTACAGTTGGATTCTCAAAAGTTGAAGGATGCTCTCTTCTGGCTATTATGACAGGTCACCTGACATACATTTTGAAAAATGTACCTATCGTCTAAAATGAAAGTACCGCAACACTAGGTACCGTACGTAGGTAAATACAATCAAGTCAGCAGTCATAAATTCATAATATGCCTCACAAAAAAAAAAAAATTATCCTACAACAGATATTTAGGTTAGACTGTCCAGATATCAAATGCACAAGAGTAATGTCGCTTATTAAAAATGTATCAAGTGTATCGGATATTTGCATACGCAGGAAAACGCTTGCGGATAAAAACTCATTACGCGAGAGCCCGGAGAAGTAGTGTTACCATTTCCATGCCTGCCAATCAATTTTTCTCCCATCACACTTTTTGGAGAAAACTTTTTTCTCATATGCACTCAGCTGACCTATAAAATTCAGACAGTGAGAGAGAGGGGGAAAAAAAACTAACTTGAACAGTGTACTGATGCCTGCCAACATGTCCCAGTGAAACCA